TCAATCCCTGTATCCCAGAGCCCTGTTGTTCCAAGGTTGTGCATACATCATTATTTACCTCTGTCCCACTTAGCCCATGCAAACCTGCCTAATTGTTTTCCCATCTGAGCACCAGTTTTGTGACATGTACTATGGGGTCAAGAAATCAAATGATGTATTGCATTAGGCAAATCTGCACAAGACCTTTTTAAAGTGTTGAAGAGCAGAGATGTCAGTTTGAGGTCTAAGGTGTGCACCTGACCCAAGCCATAGTGTTTTCAATAACCTCATATGCTTGTGAAAGCTGGGCAATGAATAAGGAAGACCAGAGAAGAATCGATGCTTTTGAGTTATGGTGTTGGACGAGAATATTGAAAGTGCCATGGGCTGCCTAAAGAACTAACAGATCTGTGCTGGAAGAAGTGCAACCAGAGTGCTCCTTGGAGGCCAGGATGGCTAGACTTCATCTCTCATACTTCAGACATATTGTCAGGAGGGACCAGTCCCTGGAGAAGGAAGGATATCATGTTTGGTAAGGTAGAGGGTCAGATAAGAAGAGGAGGACCCCAGTGAGATGGATTGGTAAAATGGCAGCATCAATGGGCTCAAGTGTGGCAACAATAGTGAGGTTGGCCCAGGACCGGGCAGTGTTTCATTCTGTTGTACATAGGATCACTACGAGTCGGTACCGATTTGATGGCACCTAACAACAACAACATAGAGTCCTGGTGGGATAAGCACTGGACTGCTCATTGAAAAGTTGGTGGTTCAAACTCACCAGTAGCTCCTCGGAAACCCTTTAAGTCGCTATGAGTCAGAACTGACTTGACGGCCCTTTGTAACTACAATATGGGACCAAGTCAATTTATTAATGTTCCATGGTGATCTTATTTTATGTCATTCAGACTTTAAGACATTGCTTTGCATTACTAAAATGGAAGAAGAGAATAAATGTAAAACAAAAACCCAACAGAACTATTTAGTGTATTTTAATTGGAATGCCATAGTAAGACAGCTGTCATTGGTTTTAAAAACCAAGTTAACTATGTGGAGAAGGCGATACTAATGCATCATCTAAAAGTATCTAACCCCGTTAAAAAGTACCGTTAGCAGTCCAGTGTTTATTCTATAGGGCCCCACAAGGACCTTAGGAGGATTACATTTAGAGCTCTGATGGTATTGTTGTTAAGTGCAGTTGAGTCAGTTTTGACTCACCGTGACCCAGTATAGGGTTTCCATGGAGTGGCTGGTGAGTTTGAACTGCTTACCTTGTGGTTCTGCTAGCTCTGGTAGTGTAGTGGTTATGAATCAGGCTGCGAACCTCAAAGTCAGCAGTTCGAAACTACCAGCTATTCCGTGGCAGAAAGATGAGGCTTTCTGCTCCCGTAAAGATTTATAGCCTTGGGAACCCTGTACAGGGCCGCTATGAGTAGGAACCAACTCCACGGCACACCACTGTGTTATGTTACTTGTATGCATGAATACTTGAAATCAAAAAGTGTCTCCAACTCATAGTGACCCTCTATGGGGCTTCTGAGGCTGTAAATCTTTACGGGAGCAGAAAACCTCACTTTTCTCCTGCAGAACAGCTGGTAGTTTTGAACTGCTGCCCTTGAGGTCCGCAGCCCGACTCATAACCAGTATGCTACCTGAGACCCTTAACATAGCAAGAAGGAAGCTGTATCTGGGTTAAGGTGCTAAATAAATCCCTTCGTTAAAAATGAAGAGTCAAAAATTTCTACTTCTTCTCCTGAGACTCTAGACTGTGAATTGACCTTGCATTTCGAGATCTCAATTCTGTCATTAAGGACTTGCAATGTTGTTGGTCCTTTGATCTCTTGAGCTGTTGTTGTTACACGCCATTGAGTCAGTCCCCAGTCACAGTGACCCACCCAGCGCACAAAAGAACTAAACACTGCCTGATGCCTCACTACCAACCTCACAATCATCCCTCCGTTTGAGCCCATTGCTGCTGTCACTGCGCCAATCCATTTAGCTGGGGAGGGGGGGTCTTCCTCTTTTTCTCCAACCCTCCACTTTACCAAACTTGCTGTTCTTCTCCAGGGGCCGGCCCCTCCCCTTAATATGCCTTTTATGAAGTATGAGAGACAAGCCTGGCCACCGTGGCTTTCAAGGAGCTGTTCAGGGATTCTGAATTATAATAAACTGGTTGAAACCAAAAAGAAACCAAACAAAGTTTCCCACTTACGTTGCAGGACTTTTTACAGAGTGAGTGGGTGGCTTATGCAAAAATGAATCTGTTTTCATAGGTTCCATGTGTGACTCATGTAGCCATTTATGTAACCCATTAACACTCAATATTTTCCACAACTGTGAGTCTGGTTCTGGGAAGTTAAATCAAATTTGTTTTGACTGCTGTGAGGTAGGCATGGAAAAAGGGCGGTTAGAGGCCTTACCACTTAGTTGCCATCTTGTCAGATGGCCAAGCGTCACCTCTTTGGCCTTCAGTGTCTTCACTTGGCAAACAAGTATTGTCGTATCTACCCAGTTACCACAGAGATTGCTGCTTGGACCTGAATGAGGCAATGTATCAAAGTTTTGCAAAGTGAAAAGGAAAGGGCTGTGTATATTTAGGGCCAGAGTTTGGTGTGAGGTCAGTATATGCTTTGTGACCCTGTAAGCGAAGTTTCCTTGAAGAACCTTCATATTATCACCAATAAACAACTCGGGGGGAAAACAGCACGTATCTTGAGGTTGTGGTAAGGATTAGAGAGTAGGGTACACCCTTACACTGTGAACTTGGGGAACACTGTAGATTGGTTTGTTACATTGACTAAAGAAAGCATGATTGTTTTTCTGTCATTTATTCCTTTGATTACATAGTGAAAGATCAACTTCAAAGTGCGTTCCAAACGTGAAGCCTTTCTCATGAAATCGGGCACCCTGGCACTACATTCAAGAGGAAGCTGGCTCTCAGCTTCGAGAGATTTGAGGCAAACACAACACAGGGCTTTAGTGGCGCTGTGGTAGTCACCAACACTATTAACTCTGATGCGAAGTTCCATAGTCACAGTTGTCCATCGTAAATGAATCTCACATAGCACGACATCATCTTGTACATGTACGTGTACAAGAGATGAGGAAAAGAAAAGTCATCATTAATAGTTCTGATGAAAACTGATCAGCCCAGTGGAATAAACACATTCTCTCAACAACTCGTTTCTCTGCTATCCACGTGCCATTTTGAAACCACACAACTCGGTCCAAATATTTTCGCCGGTGCATTTTTCTTTCTGACTTCCTCTTGAAAATGGGTGATTCTCCCCTCCACCCACAATCAGTCTTACAGGCTGCGGAACTGCTTTCCAAGTATGAAGAAGCTCTGAAGTCAAGAATATTCAAGCTCTCTGTGGAAGATGGCGACGGTCTACAAACAGACGTGGCTGCTCTCCTGGCATGTGGTACCCACACCAGCCACAGACAGGTACAGTTTCCCATCCGGACAAACACAGATTTCATAGAGTCTCTGTGAGCTGCCAGAGGGACCGCTGGTCCCCTGAACCAACTTGGGCAGACACACAGTGCCAGCATCCAGCACAAGCTGTGTAGGAGAAAACCAGAGGTGAGACATTAATGGGGACAGGAACATGGGAAATGTAAAATTCATGTGCCACCTGTTACAGACAAAGAGCTGGGTTTTCTCTTCACAGGGAGTTAATTCATATTATAATTATGGGTTATTCTGTAGTCTATTCCTACTTCCATTCAGGCAGATTGAAAAGGCAAACTCTCCTTTTATCCACTGTTAGTCCAGCTAGGAAAACTGACCCACACTTTGTTCTGAGAGTTGGTGTGCCAGTAACTGGGTTTCTTTTCCCTTCTAATATGTCGCACTCCTAAAAATACCCCTCATCAGGCTGACTGGACGAATGCGACAGCATTCTGCGGATTTAGTTTTATCTCCTGGTTCACTTTATACAGATGACCCCATCCCCTGATTAGGTTAAATTATAAGCCACAGAAATATATTTATGACATGAATTTTTAAATTGAGTGTTGGGATTTATCTTGATTTGAGTTGTGACTTTATTTTCCTATAAAAGGCAGTTAGATCAGTCTCATACTATTTCACTGACTTTTTAATGTTTAAAATTCCACTGTCTTCCATTAGATGCTGAAAGCAGTAGACATATAGCCTAAATCCTATTTAAACACAGTGAGAGGGAGGGGATTCAGGGGTCATATTATAATTTAATTGTTATTAAGTGCTGTTGAATCAGTTCCCATTCATAGCAACCCTGTATAGGAGGAGTGGCTGGTGAGCTTGAACCACCGAATTTGCTGTTCAAATCGACCTTGCAGTCCAGTGCATTAACTCCCAGCGCCACACCAGGATTTAGTTAACCCAAAATACAAGCACATGGACGTTGACTGAGGCTTGGCAATCTGATAATTAAAGGAAGTAAGACTCCTCAATGCTGTAGGGTACTGGCTTGTTAGAAGGAATTCAGTATGTTGTGGATTGTCATAGTCCTTGCCAACAAAGTTAGATACTTTATTTATGTAACCTCATTCAAGATATTTGCAGTGTGTATTCCCTCTAGGAGTCTAGGTGTGGTGCTGTAGGATCAGCACTGGACTGCGAACCACAAGGTCAGCAGTTCAAACCCCCCAGCTGCTCCTCAGAAACCCTATACAGGGCTGCTCTGAGTTGGAACCTGACGGCACCTAACAACAATTCCCTCTTAGAGTCCTGGTGTGGTGCTGTAGGGTAAGCACTGGATTCCTAAGTAGACGGTCAGCAGCTTGCCCACCAGTCGCTGTGAGTCGGAACTGACTCCACGGCACTTAACAAAAACAACAATTCCCTCTTGTGACACTGAGCCGTGCTATAGAGAACGGGGTGGAGACAGGAAGTAGCACCACATGCAATGGCTTACCCAGTGTGGTTTGGTACGTGGTCAGAGAATAAACTAGCTCAACTTGTATAGCTTTTAAAAAGCACAAACATTTTAGGTGATTGTTCAATGCCTTGGGTGCCCTGGGTTTCTGCTTTTTCCCTTAGGTGCCTTTAATCTATTTGCTTTCCCCTATTTCTCATGGTTAATTGATCATGTTGCTCCCCAACCCCCGCCCTAGTTACTCATTTTCCTCTCTTCCAGCAAATGCTTCCAACTGATCATCCCCACACTGCTTCATTGCTTATTTCCTGCCTTTGTGGGACAAAGATGTCTAACCAAAAGGTCAGGAGTTCAAATCCACCAGCCTCTCTGCGGAAGAAAGATAAAACTGTCTGTTCCTGTAAAGCTACAGTCTCAGAAACCCCCTGTAGGGGGCGCTCTGAGTCAGAATCAACTCAGTGGTGGTGGGTTTGTGGTTTTGTGGGACAATACCTGTTGGAAGACCACACAGTTCTTCATTCTGTATACGTCTGGCGCTGTGGGATAAGCACTAGACTGCTATCCACTGCTAACTCTTCTTGGACTCGCCTTCACTAACACTGTACACTTGCCATGACCGCTCTTTACAAATGACCCTAAATGTAATGTGTGGATCTCTGGATGCGCTTGAAACTCCCAAGGGTCTTCAGGACATACATAGAATTGGAGCTTGATCATGTTGGCTTACCATCCCATCACTACTGTGTAACTTGATATCCATTTGAGAAAGGGCCTCAATCTTCCCAGCTCGTGCTTTAATGTGCACACCCCTGGGGGCATCCATGCTTAGACTCCTGGTAGGGGATTCTAACCTGAGAAGACAAAAAATGCATAAAAATATAGACCAAGTAAGCACTCAAAGACCTGCTGAGCACAGAAATTGGAATACTCACACTTCATTCACACACGTTAAGGCGCTGAGCATTAAACCCCTGTCCGAAAGGTGAGGAACAATTTTATGACAGCGACATCAGGGACCCTTTGGTCACTCTTAAGGTAGGAAATGGAACTTGTCTCCAAGGCTCAATGTTCAGCCAAACAGTAGACAGAGCTATATCTTAATGAGAGTCCTGGTGTGGAGCTGTGTAGGTCAATGCCCTGGACTGCTAAGTAGGTTTGAACTGCAGAGGTCGGCAGTTCAAGCTCACCAGCTGCTCCTAGGAAACCCTAAACAGGGTCGCTATGTGTTGGAATGGACTTGACGGCACTTAACATCAATATGCCTTAATGGGCAAGGTAGGTGAATCACTTCATTTTGAGATCTATATATTTTAAAACACTGACATTCATGTTTAAAGAGGGGCTTGGCATTCCTACAATTTACATTCTTTTCCTAATTCAAAGTGGTTTGAACCCAATTGTTTTTAAAAGGGAATGAAACATTGATTTCTCTGTTAGGAAAGTAAAACGTTCTCCGTCACTAACTATAATAAACCTGTAATATTGATCTTATAATCCTTCATCAAAATTAATGAACATTACTGTAATTTAACTATAGTCACAATTTATTTTTATGCTGAAAATGTTCTTTAAGCAGAAAAGATAAATTGAACTCCTATTTGTTTTTAATTAGTATTTCATCAGACATTAAATAGAAGCAAAATGATGAACTTCCTAATTGCTATTTCATTTAGTGTGAATATCTATTTGGTATATGAATGATAATAAAAACGAGTATTTGTATTTGAGGAGCCAGCTTATGTAATACTTTTAACCTACAATATCTTACTAATTTCTTCCTAGACCACTTTGAAGTAAGTATGAGAAACAATCGTCTTGAAAACATTAGTTTACGAAAGTTATGAGTCTTCTGTGTAAAGCTGACACTCTCATAAAAGTGCTCTCACGCCGTGTTTTCTGTATTTAATACAATTTATCAAATACATGAATTGTTCTTCACAGTCAAATTCTACATGTGAGTTTTAGTGGTATGTTGGCCTGTAAGATATTTCGTTTTAATATCAATATCAAAACATACAGATTTAAAATACATAGACCTCAGAAGGCAACAATTAAGCTCTGTTGCCCATGAAGATACAGATCTGCTAGTGTATACAACAGGCCCTTACTACAAAAGAAATGTCAGGAGAGTATTTTCCTACATTCAGTTTTGTAATAAAATACAAACCGACTACTGAAGTAAGTAACTACGGCAGTAAATTGCATCTCTTATCCTAGCAACAGAGAAAATAACACAGGCGGCACACGCTGTGAATAAAACGCATTCGTATGTGGAGTCCTGGGGTGGCGCTGTGGATTAATGCACCAGACTGCAAAGCCGTTTCAACTGCAAGCTCAGCGGTTCAAGCTCAACAGCCATTCCTCGGAAACCCTATACAGGGTCGCTATGGGTCGGAATCGACTCCACAGCACTTAACAACAACAGTATGTGGAACTTGATGATTTTGTTTATTCTAGATAGTACGTAATGAGCTCTACCAAAGATTGCCTGTTCTTTTGTAAATGCGACCTTATCATGTGTGTGGTCTTCCAACACCCTTGTCCCTGCTAGTTGTTGTGTTCCTGTTGGTGGTAAGTGCCATCGAGTTGGTTCAGGCTTATAGCGATCCTGTATAATGTTTCTGAGGAGCAGCTGGTGGGTTTGAACTGATAACTTTGCAGTTTAAACTGACCCTGCGGTCCAATGCCTTATCCTACAGTGCGCCACACCAGGACTAGTGGTGCACATTAAAAAAAAAAAATCAAGACACTTTTTTTGTAAAGAATATCTTCTCTTCCATTGAAAGTTACAGAGACTTTTACTGTGTTTGCTGATAGAGTGGGAATGGAGAGTGTGACAGGAATACACAAATGTCTTATTTTTTAAACAGCAACAATTTGTAGGCACTCCTGATGACAGGTTTTTGGGGGAATTGATGGTTTCGTGAAATACTCGAGTTGTATGCAGGTGGCGTCTGAATGAACCGTTGAGGGTGAGCAGATCTTCCTGAGGTCTCCTAGGGGAAGATGGGCTTTCCATTCAGAGGGAGAACTTGGTCAGAAGTTAGGGTGAGGGGTCTGCACAAGCAGGTAAGAGAGAGAGCAGGTGGTTGCTAGTTGTGGGCTGGAGAGCTAGTCAGAGTCCCAGTCTCTGGCCCTAAGTGGAGGAGTGGGGATTTTCCTATGGGAGATGGGGAGTCACTGAAGCATTTTAAACAGTTTGAGTGTAGTGACGTCAACCCAACACTGACATCGGTGAGAAGGACAGGCTTCACTTCCTTGCTGTTGAGTTGATTCAGGCTCAGAGCGACCCTACAGCACATAGTAGAACTGCATCTGAGGGCTTGCGAGACTGGAAATCTTTACGTGAGCAGGCAGCCTCATCTTTCTCCTGTAGAGAGGCTGGTGGGTTTGAACTGCTGACCTTGCCGTTAGCAGCCCAAAGTTTAACTCACTATGCTACCAAGGCAGGCTAGAGGGGAAGAACTGGGGGTAGGAGAAGTGTACTGAATAGACTACAGAGATGGGGATATGACAAAAGGAGGCCTGGATCCCAGACATACAAAGTGTGCCGATCCCATAGGGTTTTTCAACTCCCTTTGGATTTTAATACGTCATAGCTGGCTAGACGGGGACAGTCATGAAAGTGAAGGCAATGAATGGGGCAGTGGTGGCCAGTGGTGCTGTGGCTTAGACACTGGGTACGATACTCCGGTGGAAAGCCGGTGCAGGGTGGCTATGTGCCGGAAGTGACCCACGGCAACGATGGTTCCGTGGTAGCCTTCTCTCCTTCTATCCCAAGCCAGTTCACCTCAGGTGAAGCCATCACCCATCTGTCAGTGGAGACTTGTATGTTACTATGGTACTGCCTAGGTTTCAGTGCAGCTTTCAGGCTAAGACAGACTAGGAAGGAAGACCTGGTAAACCTTAAGGATCATAACGGTCTGGTCCTGTGGTCCCCTGGTGTCAGGGACCAACTTGACCATAGCTAACAAGAACAGGGGAATAAGACGGTGTTCCCTGGGGGTCACAAATGACTAAGTGCTTGGCTATTAACCAAAAGTTTGGAGGTCTGACTCAGAAGAAATGCTTGGTAATCTCCTTACAAAAAATCAGTCACTGACAGCATAATGGAACACAGTTCTACTCTGGCTCTCATGGGGTCAGGTTTGTTGTTGTGAAGTGCCGTCGAGTCGGTTCCGACCCACAGCAACCCTGTATAGGGTTTCCAAGGAGCAGCTGGTGAGCTTTAACTGCCAACCTTGCAGTTGAAATGGCTTTGCAGTCAGGCACATTAACCCATAGTGCCACACCAGGACTCCATGGGGTCAGGTTGTTGTTAAGTGCCGTCGAGTTGGTTCTGACCCATAGCAACCCTGTATAGGGTTTCCGAGGAGCAGCTGGTGAGCTTGAACTGCTGACCTTGTAAGTCCAACGGCGTTGCAGTCAGGTGCATTAACCCATAGTGCCATACCAGGACTCCATGGGGTCAGGTTGTTGTTGTTGTTATGTGCCGTGGAGTCGGTTCTGACCCATAGCGACCCTGTACAAGGTTTCCAAGGCTGTATGTAAATCTTTACGGGAGCAGAAAGCCTCAGGTCAGGTAGCAAGTGGTAAAATACTGTTACAGCAAATGCCCAGAGAGCTTCAATAAGAATATGTCCTTCTATTTCAACAAAGTTCTTACCTAAGCTCTTGAAATGGGTCAGCTTGGACAAGTGGGGTCTCCACTGAATGCTCAAAAAGAGCCCCTTCAGGACCTAAACACAAGTCAAAGATGAATCAGTGAAAAAAAAAAGGTAAAATAAATGGCATAAAACATATTAAACAGTGAGTCTCTGTATTTAAACACAAGAAAGCATTTCTGTTTTGTTTTGATCGTTCATACCTGTGTGACTGGTGCGTAGAGAAAAAGAAACATTCTTCATTAGAAATGCCAAGATTTCACTAGGTCCCTAGCAAGAAACTCTTACTTTAAAACTAGTTACAAATGAATAGGCCAATTTAGAAATCTGGAGTCCTGGTGTGGTGCTGTAGGATAAACATTGGACTGCTAATCGAAACCTTGGCTGTTCAAATCCACCAGCCGCTCTTTGGAACGCCTATACAGGGTTCCAATGAGTCAGAACCAACTTGATGGCACTTAACAACATTTTTTTAAAACTAGAGAGCAATCTCGACGGCACTTAACAACAACAACAACAAGAGAGCAATGCTAAGTTTAAGTAAAAATAAAATCATTCTTACTGAAAACTGGGTGGTTGTTGTTGTTATGTGCCGTGGAGTCGGTTCCGACTCATAGCGACCCTGCACAGGGTTTCCAAGGCTGTAAATCTTTATGGGAGCAGAGAGCCTCATCTTTTCCCCGCGTAACAGCTGGTAGTTTCGAACTGCTGACTTTGAGGTTAGCAGCCTGATTCGTAACCACTACGCTACCAGAGTAAGTCCATATATTTCAGTCAATAGAAATGTGACTGTTCCCTGGTGTTTACATGTAATAACTGTGTCTTGGAGTACATATGAGGGGGCTTCAAAAAATTTGTGGAAAAATTCCGCTATCTTTTCATTCTGTTTTTCCACAAGCTGTTTGAAGCTCTCGTGTGTTTTTAAGGCATATCAGGAAATGCATAGAAAAATAAATTTAATGTAACTATTTTCAATTGACCTTACAATTTCTAGGAATCCACATGCTTCAGTTTGCTGTTGCTACTGTTCACTTGAGAACCCGTAAGCAAGACACTGTGCTAACAACCGAGGTACAGAAAAACCAAAGTGAAAGTGATGTGGTCTTTGATAGACCCTAACTCATTTGTTTATTACTTTATGTTGCTGTTGTTGTTAGGTGCCATTGGATCAGTACTAACTTACAGTGACCCTGTGCACAACAGAATGAAACACTGCCCGATCCTGCGCCAACCTCACAATTGTTGCCGTTTGAGCCCATTGATGCTGCCACTGTGCCAATCCATCTCGCTGGGAGTCTTCCTCTTTTTCTGCAACCCTCCACTTTAATAAACATGATATCCTTCTCCAAGGATTGGTACCTCCTGACAATATGTCCGAAGAGACCAAGTCTGGCCATCCTGGCTTCCAAGGAGCACTCTGGCTGTACTTCTTCCAACACAGATCGGTTTGTTCTTTTGGCAGTCCATGGTACTTTCAATATTTTCCTTCAACACCATAACTCAAATGCATCAATTCTTCTATGGTCTTCCTTCTTCATTGTCCAACCTTCGCATGCATATGAAGTTATTGGACATACCATGGCTTGGGTCAGGCTCATCGTAAACCTCAAACGGACATTTTTGCTCTTCAACACTTTAAAGAGGCCTTGAGCAGCAAATTTGCCTAATGCAGTACACTGTTGATTTCTTGACTGCTGCTGCCATGAGTGCTGATGGTTGATCAGATCAAAATGAAGCCTTTGACAACTTCAGTCTTTTCACCATTTATATGGATGTTGTTTATTGGTCCAGTGGTGAGGATTTTTGTTTTTTTTATAATAAGGTTGAACCCATACCGAAGACTGATCTTTGATCTTCATCAATAAGTATTTTAAGTCCTCTACTCTATGTGGCACTGTGGGATAAGGCACTAGACCACAAGGTTGGTTTGAACGTCAAGGTCAGTGGTTCAAATTCACCAGCTGCTCCTCAGAAACCTTTTTCAAGGTCACTATCAGTCGGAACCGACTCCACCACACCTAATAACAAAACAACTCTATGAGATTATTTTCCCACTTTACCGATGAGATAACTGTTGGACAGAAACAAAGTGGACCAGGGATGCACAGTTGAAGAATGGCAGGGCGGGGTCAGAATTCAAGACCTCCACTTTTAACTTATAAGCTGTAAGATTTCTTGTACAATCACGTGTGAGAGAATGCAGTACGCACCACAAGCAAGCTGCAAATAAATGATTTTGGGGGGAGGGATGGTCATCAGTGGGAGGAGCTAATTTAAATTAGCAGGTAAGACTTTGTGGACCAGAACTTCCATGTTTGTGGACCAAACAGTCCTGGTGCAGGACAAAGTGACATGAGAGGAATAAAAGGATTTGACCACCTTCATGTAGAGTCCTGGTGTGGTGCTGTGGGTTAATGTGTCAGACTGCCAAGCTGTTTGAACTGCAAGGTCGGCGGTTCAAGCTCACCAGTCACTCCTCGGAAACCCTATACAGGGTCGCTATGGGTTGGAACTGACACAACGGCACTCAACAACAACAACAACAATGTAGAATACGGTGACATCAAGCAGTGGAGTTTCCACACTAAACTGTGCCAGCCATATTTTATAGTGTGTTGTTGTTGTTGTCAGGTGCCATCAAGTCAGAACCAACTCATAGCGACCCCATGGACAGCAGAACGAAACAATGTCCTATCCTGGGCAAACCTCACTACCGCTGCCACACTTGACGCCATCAATGATGCCACCTGGCTGGTCCATCTCGTTAGGGGGGTCTTCCTCTTTTTCTCTGACCCTCCACCTTACCCAGCATGACATCCTTCTCCAGCGACTGTTCTCTCCAGACAATATGTCCAAAGTATGAGAGACGAAGCCTAGCCATCCTGGCCTCCAAGGAGCACTCTGGTTGCACTTCTTCCAAAACAGATCTATTGGTTCTTTTGGCAGTCCATGGCACTTTCAGTATTCTCCTCCAACACCACAACTCAAAGGCATCAATTCTTCTATGATCCTCCTTATTCACTGTCCAGCTTTCGCATCCATATGAGGCTATTGAAAATACCATGGCTTGGGTCAGGTGCACCTTAGTCCTCAAGCTGACATCTCTGCTCTTCAATACTTTAAAAAGTTCCTGTGCAGCAGATTTGCCCAATGCAATACGTCGTCTGATTTTATAGTATAGGGTCTGAAATATATACTTTTCTTTGGGCTTGGAGGGAGAATAATTTAAACATGACAATTTGCTTCTCCTGATTTGCAAAATATAAAAGAAAAAAACCAAAAGGAAGCACATTTCAAGTCACTCATTGGGTATGCTAAATATAGTTTTGTACTTGGTGTGTTTTGCCTTTGGATTATTAAGCATTGCTTTACACATGAGTATGTTTTGATGTGAGGACCCTAACATGACTCTAACATATTTAAAAAAAAAAAAATCCTTTACATTGCAAGAGACCATTTCACAAGAGAAATGCTATGAATGTGTGTGTCATTTTATCTATTTTAACATAAACAAAATGATATGGTGCTGAAGAAAAAAGGGCCGACACTTCACTATATAAACATTCACCGTGGGTCAGAGCAAGCAGCCATCTCAGTACATTCAATTTGCACAGCAATTCACGTGTGAGCTCAACTTGGATTCTCTGAGTAGCTGAAATTGGTCTAAAATGTCAGTGGCACTATTTTACAAGGACATGTGATTCCACAATTGGTTTTCAGTGCAGGCCAATGACTTCTCCATCATCATAGTTACATTCTAGCTACATGTGACTATAGTAATGTAGTTAGATACAGTCTGTAAACTAGAATGTATTGTCTTTCAATGAGAACAATTGTTTCTCAAGGAAACAGAGACCAGCAGTTTCTCTATGATAGAAAATTTAAACATCATCTTGATTGTCGTTGTTAAAGTGCTGTCGAGTTGTTTCTCAACTCATAGTGTCCCTCTACAGGGTTTCCAAGGAGCGGCTGGTGGGTTTGAACCATCGATCTTGTGGTTAGCAGTCCAGTGCTGATCCTACAGTGCCACATCAGGACCCCTCATCTCGACTATATAATTAATATTAGTATTACTCAGCTTTAAAGTAAATACTCCTCAGAGTCTATTTTCATATGACTAAATAGAAGTTTCTCAAATGATTTCACGAAAGAATTTTCAGTAAATGGTTGTTGAGCTTCGATGTAATATTTCCTTTATGTGTGCACTCAAATAAAAAATGTCATTGATTTGACATCTGTTCCTTGAGGAAAATGGAACCCATTAACTGAAGTTGTTGGAAGACCTAAATTATAGACAAGGACACAAATTCCACTATGTAATGCCATTATGTAAGCCATGCGTTAAATGATCCTGTACAGTTTGCATAATTTATATAAGAATATATTACCAAAAAAAGAGCTCAGCTAATGTTAGTGCTCCACCCCAGGATATAAAGGATTTCTCAGAAACATGTTTAACAGACATAGTGCGCACAAGAAACTAATGGCATGAGGGGGGTGCACAGTTCGTTTAAAAAAAAAAAAAAAAAAAAATATATATATAGTTGGTGATGGTTATGTGCCATGGACTTGGTTCCAACTCACAGCAACCCTGTACACGGTTTCTGAGGCCTCATCTTTCTCCCCTGGAACCACTGGTAGTAATGATCTGCTGACCACGAGATTAGCAGCCCAACTCATAACAACTATACTGCCATGGGTTAATGCCCCAGACTGCAAAGCCCTTTGAAATGCAAGGTGGGTGGTTCAAGCTCACCAGCTGCTTCTCGGAAACCCTACATGGGGTCGCTATGGATCAGAACCAACTCGATGGCACTTAACAATATGTTGTTGTTGTGAAGTGCTGTTGAGTCGGTTCCGACCCATAGCGACCCTGTGTAGGGTTTCTGAGGAGAGACTGGTGAGCTTGAACCACCAACCTTATGGTCCAAAACGACTTTGCAGTCCAGCGTATTAACCCACAGCACTACACCAGGACTTATATATATGTGTGTTGTGTGGGTATCATTTAGGGTGGTGGGAGTGTAC